ACCAACATAGGCCAATCAGCTAACCAGTATTTTCGCCCCTTCCCAAAATTACTTCTACGGAAGGTTTCCAGATGAATATGCGGAGCAAAGCCATCTGGCGGAGTCAGGTTAGTGACCCGTGGGATTCCCGAAAAAATGTCAGTCTCTAATAGAAAGGGTTGAAAATGACCTCAAATCAGCTGAAGTCAGAGTCAAAATGTGGTACTCACTACATGGAGCAAGAGGAGAATGAGTTTGTGTGGCTGGGTACCTTACCTTGCTCCATCCTCTCCTGTAGAAAAATGGGAAGGAAAAGGCTATAGCTGTGAGAATGACTGTTAGCATCATCAGCCCTCGATGAACCTGGACAGAGACACTCAGTAATATTGCTACTCTTTTTTGTAAGCTTCTTTGAATTGGAGGGTTATGTGTCCATGTAAGAATGCATGAAGATCCACCTGAAACCAGACTTTCTGACCTAACAGGGTCTGATTCGCCCACTGGTGTTTGTAGAAACTGGCGATAAAAGTACCAACACTTCCTGTTAGCATCCAGGCAAACAGCATGAGAGCACCTAAGGAAGCAAATACAGTTCAGCCAGGATTTTACTCTATCATGACAGCCTTCCTGTCCGCCATCTGATCAGCTTGTAGCAACAAGGAGCTCATTCTTGAAATGATGATTATAGTCTCATAGCTGACGTATGAAGACAGGTAACCAAGCGTACCATGCATTTTCAAAATTAGTGGCCCCCGGGAACCATGAAGAACTTCAGCGGAACCATTAATACGTTTTCTCTGAGAGGAGACTAATGGTTGCTGGCTGTGCTTCCCAAAATCTGTAGAAAAAAAACAACAATAATACACATTATAGCAGGATACTTAAAAATCATATAATATAAAACTTACATTTTGTGACAGATATTGCTGCACTAACACCCCCAACAGACAAAATATGTTTTTGACCTGTGAATTTGTAAAACTGGGGAAATAATCAGCAATAAATAGTACATTCCAAACTGATCTCTACCATATTAACATTTTAACCACTGATATGGTTTTTATAATTAAATCAGGTGTAGTGGTTTTAAGTAATTTAATCGGGGCTTTTTAACATATCTTGTAAGGTGATCCAATTGGTTTATGGGTCTTGTTCAGTTCTAGTAGTTCTTTGATTAAACATTTAATGTATTAGGTTTGCGTGGGGCTCTGCTTGGTAAGTTTGAATTTTATGTCAATTCATATTGGTAT